AGGTCTTCCATGCTGTCTGTCCCCAGGTTTGTCCTCTGCCCAGCTCACAGCACACATGGATCATGGCCTCGTAGCCAGAGGTAGGGACACGTTCCAGGACTCAGACTCCTGGCCCAGAGAGAACAGTCACTGAAGAGTCTGGGAACAGTGTCACCTGGGGAACGGTGGGAAGAACTTGGAGATGACAAGTCCAGAGGAATAAAAGCATGCCAGGGAAGTATGGCGTGGTATAGGTCTTCTCAATATTGGCAAAGTGGTGCAGAAGAGAGACAAGAATGCCTTACTCTGTCTTACTCAGGGTCCAGGAGAATGAAGAAAGTGAAAAGTACAGAAAGGCATGTTTTGAGTCTGCAAGAGAGAATTCTTTTGTGTCTCAGAGCTGACCTCCAGTGAGCAGCCTGGCCCCTAAGGGAGAGTTTTTGTGCTGGAAGTCCTCAAACACAGGAGGCCCTGACGTGGTTTCTTCTTCTTCTTTTTGTTTTTGGTACTGGGGATTGAACTTGGGACCTTGTGCTTTTGAGGCAGGCAGGCAGTGGAACCACTGAGCTAAATCCCCAGCCCCCTGACATGGTTTCTACAGCTCTGCTGGGTGCCCTGTCATCCTCAACTCGGTGTCTAGTTTATATTAATAGGCCTATTACATACTTTCTGATTGATTGGCTTCATAAATTTTAAAACATAGCTCAGGCATGACTGCCAGTCAGCCGAGTCCAAAAGGGGAGTACAGGAACAGGGAAAGGAAAATCAAACAAAACCAGACACGAATGTACATAGAAAACAAGAGACAAGTAAACTTAAAGACAAGATGGAGATTTGTACAGAGGTTAGAAGTGCAGAGGCAGAGGAGCACAGAGAGATGAAAGCAGGGACTGATGGGAAGACCAATGATATCCACTAGGGTCAAGTGTGGATGGTCCCTGGATTACAATGGTTCGACTTACAATTTTTTCCACTTAATGATGGTGCAAAAGTGATATGCATTCAGTAGAAACTGTATTTTGATTTTTGAACTTTGATGTTTCCTGGATCAGCAATATGTGGTATGATCCTCTCTTGCAATGCTGGGCAGTGGCAGCAAGTCAGAGCTCCCAGTAAGCCACACAATCAGGAGAGTAAACAATCTATGCTCTATGTGTAGCTAAGTTATGATGTTTAGTAGGTTAGGTATATTCAATCCATTTTGACTTACGATATTTCAGGATGTAACACCATCATAAGTCAAAGAGCATCTGTAATACAGAGGATGAGACTGATTTTATCTCACTGGTGACACAGGCACATTGCAGTGATGATGCCAAAGGCAAAGCTAAGATGTGTGGAAGAGTAAATAAGAGCAAATGGAGGCATCAAGTATGGACAATGGCTTAAGAAGCTAGGCTGTGGGGCAACTGAAGCATAGCACTAAAAAATGAGGAGGCTGGTGTGTGTGTGTGTGTGTGTGTGTACGCATGTGTGTGTGTTTATTGAAATATGAGACATACTGAACATGCTTACAAACTAATGAGAAAAAAGTTAGTCAAGAGGGAAAGGGTGAAAATATGGGAGAGAACTGGAGTACAGTTCCTGAGGGTGAAGGGGAAAGAACTTTTGGCTGTGAGCACAAGTCAGGTCCAGCCTTGGCAGAGAGGAGAAACCCTAATCCCCTTTCACTAGGAGAAAGAAGGAGTAGGGTGGCAAGACACTAAGGGAACACCCTACTTGTTCAATACCTGTTAACTGGCCACCCAAGTCTCTTCTCAGGTGTACTAAATGGACTGAAAAAGCAAAATGGTCACTTTGATGGAGTCTCTTGGAGCTATGGGTAGCCAGCCATGTCACTCAGATTTGGCTAAGGAACCACAGGCTCCACTTTCTGAATCAAAAACTAAATTTAAAAAAGATTTAAAAGAGCTGGCTTTTGGACTGTCTTCTTTCTTGAGTCCAGAGGTGTGTCAGCCACCTTACAACCATGAGATTTTAGCCACATGCTAAGATATCAGAGCAGGAAGACTGAGGCTGTGCTTCCCACTTCCTTCGCCCAATCCATCAGACTCTGCTGGACAAGGCCTGCTCTAGGGCCTGGATGTAGCCCTGACAGTGCTGTTTTCCTTGACTGGCTTTGGCCAAATTACTGAATGTTATGCTGGATTGAAAAAATCCCAGCTAACATGTGCAATAAAGCTGGATTTAAGTCCGTGCTATGGCAAAATAATTCAATCATGTAGAACTAGAGCTTTGATTTCCTTGGGGTGTAGGAGTGGGCACTCAAGAAAGTACTGATGTTTTTCCAAATCATAAAATCATTGATGAGCAATTCTTTTCTACTTCTCCCCAGGCCTTCCTCCCCCTCCCCCATCATCAATATTTGCTACAGTGATTCTCAACTGCTTTAGAATTTTGATATGCTCATGCTTATGTAATTTTCCCCCTTTCTGCTATAGAGACCCACTAGTATAAATTCTTTTTAAAATCAAAACTAGTCAAAAATATCAATTTGTTACAATGATCCTGAGAACTTTACCTTGCCTCCTGAAAGAAAGGAGTGGTAATTGATGCTGGTGATGAGCACTGGGGACAGGGTGGCCATGTGGAGACAGCATGGACCCTGGATCACCAGGTCTTCCTTGGGCTTTAGGGGCCTAATGCTGATAGGCAGGCTCCCATCCCTTTTGTGTTCTGACCCCCAACTTCCAGGCATGTGGTGAATGAGTACACAAATGACACTTGAAATATCTAGAACCACATTTATAGTTCTATCTTCTTTATTTTCCAGATGGTGTCTTGGTTATTTACTTGTTGCTGATGCCCACAAGTTAAAGGAGGGAAGGTTTATTTTGGCTCACAGTTTGTAGAGGTTTCAGTCTATAACTACCTGGATCCAAGGCAGGGCAGCATGGAGGAGAGGCATGGCAGAGGAGAAACAGTTCATGGCTGGCTGACAGGAAACAGAGAGGGATCAACCAAGTAGATGCCTCTAGTGACCCACCTCTTCCCACCAGCCTTCACCTCCCAACATCACATCCAGCTATAAATGCACCAGTGGGCTAACCAGTGATCCAGTCCCTTCCCCAAAGCCCCAGCTATGAGCATGTGAGGCTCTGGGAGGGGAGGGACATCCAAATACAAACCACAAGATGGCTAAACTGATGCATAGTCAAGCTAAATATAGCTTGTTCATGGTTACAAAGACTTTTCAGAAAAGTACAGAGTCCAAGGGTGCTAGCTGATCTTTGAATTCATCCTGTCTTCTTGATGAGTTGGAAAAATAATTCCTGGGTGGGGGGTATAAAATTTCCAGATAAAATACAAAATTTCCAGAGAAAAGAGAAGTAGTATTGATGAGAGATAAAAGGAAACTTGATATTTTAGACAGAGTAATTTAGCCGGACTCCTAGTGCAGGTTTTGGAGCAGTGAAATGATGCAGAGAAAATTAATACTATTGTAGAAACCTGGACTCAAAAGTGCATCCTTGCCAAGCATGTGGTGCACACCTGCAATCCTAGCACTCTGGGAGACTGAAACAGGAAGATCTCAAGTTAGAGCCTACCTGGGCAACTTATAGAGACACTGTCTCAAAATTTAATTTCTTAAAAAGGGGGGGGGACGTGCTTGGGATGTAGCTTAGTGTGAATGCCCTGGGTTCAACCCCTAGCACCACAGAAAAAAGAAGGAAAGAAAGAATGAAAAAAAAAAAGAAAGAAGGAAGGAAGGAAAGAAAGGAAGGAAGGAAGGAAGGAAGGAAGGAAGGAAGGAAGGAAGGAAAGAAGAAAGGAGCTCCTATGGCTTTTAATCTAGATGTCCCCCAAAGCCTCTTGTGCTTATAGGTGGGCTTTTCAGAGGTGACTGGATCTAGATGCATGATACTGGCATTAAGAGTGTGTGATACTAAATTAGTCCACTGATTGGTTTACCATAGTTATGGGTCTGGAAAATGGGAAAGCCCACCCTGTGTGTGGTGGGCACTAACCAATAGGCTTGTGACCTGTATGAAATAAAAGGGAAAAAGAGGTTGCTGCTTGCGGCTTTCTGCCTACCCTGCCATGGGCTGTTTCTTCTCTGCCATGCCCCTTTGCAATGCCATCCTGCACTGGAGCCAGCAAATTATGGACTACAGGACCACCATAGGAGCACAGGCAAGAGAAGACAGTGGACATGGTGGTGCAGAGAAGCAGGTAGAGCTTCGGTTTACTGCTTGTAAACCTGTGGACAGACCAGGTACAAGTGACAGAGGGAAAGGAAGAGGCAGTGATGCTTAGGCGTTCTAAAATGGAAAAAAACTAGGGATCCAGGCAGGTTGTTGAGGGAAATCAAGACTGCTAACTTGGCCACACTGCACCTGAGAAGACAAGTTGCAATTCAAGTAGAGATGCTGAGGAGGCATCCGACATAGGAGCGTGGTGCTCAGCGAAGAGAAAAAAAGGACTGGCTGTGTAGGTTTGGAGGCAGAGGAAATGTATTATTTTCCCCATTTTCTGATTTATTGGATAATAGAACAGTCTGGAAACAGAAGCGACTATGTTAAATTTTTTCCCTACACGATAAAGTGGCATTTCATCTATGCTATGGAGTTGCTGTGAGGATAACATGAATCAAAACCTGTTAAGAGACTTAGAAAAGTGCTTGGCATATATTCAGCATGTAACTGGCTATCCGCCTTGAAAAGTCAGCCATTTAAGAAGCCATTTACCTTCCATTTAAGAAAAAATCCATTTACTATCAATTAAAGAAGTGCATGACAGAAATCAAACTAGAAAAGTTATGAGCAAAATACTGAGATGAATAGTTGAATTTAAACTACTCAGAGGGTTATCACCCGATAATGAAACGACAAGAGTCAGAGAGAGCAGGCGGAGTGGGACGAGAGAGACAGGTGGGACTCTGAAGTCCCGACCTTACCGCGCTTGGCAAGGCAAGAACCTGGCCTGGGCGCTCGACCTGACAGGGTTGGACCGAGGGCCACCTTAACTAGCAGGATGAGCACCGCCTCCCACTAGGCACGCCTGCGCGCCAGACCGGAAGCAGGAAACCGGAACCTCTGGGCCGACCGTGCCTATTTCCGGAGGGAGCGTGGGTCCAGGAGTCAACTTTGGTGTTGCTAGGGATCTGGCTTCTGACTCCCTCTTTTCTACCAGAGTCACGGCGGCGAAGAAGCCGAGGCGGCGGCGATGAGACAGAAGCACTATCTCGAGGCTGCGGCGCGAGGCTTACGAGATAGCTGCCCGGGCCAAGCCCGCTATCTCCTGTAAGTGAGGGACGGCAGAGGAAGCGGGAGGCGAGCAGCGATGTTCCTTTACTCATCACGAGTCTCTTTCTCTTTTACAGTTGGGCCTACTCTTCGTCACACGGTAGGGAGAATGCCCGTCTGTGGTGGGTTCAGCTTTCCTCGCCCCTCTGTTTCCCACGGCCCTTGGAATGATCTAAAAGAGAAGGCGGATCGACTCGCTCATTAAAAAACAATTAGAGGGCTTCTTAGTTTTGTGAAAAATCCTGATTCTTTACTGTGTCTTACTTTGCCTTTTGGTGACATTTAGCACATTGCTCTCCCTTCTTGAAATAGTTTTTCACTTGGTTTACAGGGCATCACATACAGTGTAGTTCATCTTTCACCTCTTGAGCCAGCACTTCCCATCTCCTTAGCTCCTTCCTCTGAATCCCCCAACCTCTAAATACTGTCTCAGGACTTGGCCCTTGGACCTTCTTCCTAACTGCACTTATTTGGTGATTTCATTCAATCTCATGGCATTTAAGTAACACATACTGAGGGCTTCCAAATTCCAGCCCAGACCTTGCTTCCAGATTCTTGACTCATATACCAGATATCTTCTTGACAGCCTATTTTAAATGTCTGCTAGGCTTTTCAAACTTAAGTATGTCCAAAACCCGAGCATTACCCCCAATACACTTCTGTTCTTGCCATTTCAGTAAATACCTTTGTTATTTAGCACAAAACCTTGAGCTGTTCTTGACTTCTTAACAACCCTCTCCTTTCCCACGCCAATCCAGTATGCCAGCAAATCTCATTGGCTTTAAATATCTGCAAAATCTACCCACTTTTTCGTACATCTGCTGCTCCCACCCTGGTCCAAGCCATTGCTGCCTCTCTCCTGGATTACTGCTGTCATTCCTTCAGTGTGATCCTGATAGAAACTAAGCTAGATCTTGTCCATTCTTTGCCATAAATGGCTTCCCATTTCTTAGTAAAAGTGAATATCCTGGAAAAGGATTATTCTCCCCTATAGGACAGGCCCACATGACCTCTAACCTATTGTCAACTCCAGCCACAATAGGCCCCCTCTGCACTGTTATGTTTCAGGGCCTGTGGAGCTACCCTGTCCTCTGCCGGGAACTCTTGCCTCATATACAGGCTTTGATTCCACCCTGCAAATGTCACTTGAGGAAGCCTTTTTCTAGCCACCCTATTTAAAATTACAGCAGCTCTTCCGCCACCTGCCTCAAAAGCGCAGGGACCTGAGTTCAATCCCTGGCACCAAAAAAAACCCAAAAAACAAAATCAAAAATTACAGTATCTCCAATAACACTCTTTAAACCACTTTCCTATCTTATTTTTTATTGCCAGCACTTAACATTTAATGTTCTATGTATTGTCTGCCTCCAGGAATTGTCCTTTGCTCTCTGCTGTAGCTCTAGTACCAAGAACAGCATCTGGCATTTAAAATATGTAAAAATGAATGCATTTTAGATTTGGCAGAGCTAAGTTACAAACATGTCCTTTGCTCTTTTGTAGTGCTGTTGAATCTAGAACTAGGCGCAGTGCTAAACACTAGGTACTCAGTAAATATTGGTTGTGTTAATTGTTTAAAAATACAAAATCAGTGCAATTTGTTAATTTGTGGAAAATATGTTGGTAAAATTGGTGAGACATAATTGCCCTTTTTTACACAGTAGCAAGTAATAAACCAGGTAACAGAGTTCAGACTGCTGAAAGGAGTGAGTGGATGGATTTACAGGATTTTACAGAATAAATTATTGATTTATTTGTATAATTTTAGATGACAAGAGCACTTTTGAAGAAACATGTCCATATTGTTTCCAGTTGTTGGTTTTGGATAACTCTCGAGTGCGCCTCAAACCCAAGGCCAAATTGACACCCAGAATACAGAAACTTCTTAATCGAGAAGCTAGAAATCATACACTCAGTTTTAAAGAAGCAAAAATTGTGAAAAAGTACAGAGACTCCAAAAGTGTATTGGTAAGATTTCAGTTCTAATATATATGAGTAATTTTGTATTTTTTTCACTTAAAGTTAAGAATCAGCAGGGCCGGGAATTTAGCTCAGTGGTTCCGCTGCCTGCCCCGCAAGCACAAGGACCCAAGTTTGATCCCCGGTAACAAACAGAAAATCAGACTGTCTATAACTCAGATTATAACAGTATATTTGGATTATTGAAATATATAAATTTTTTCTAGTGATTAGTGTTGCATCAAGAGTACAGCTTTTTAAAATTTTTTCATAATTAATAATAATGAGTTCTCAGATCTCATTGTTGGGCACAATTATTTTCATAAATTTGAGAATTTCTTGAGCTGACCAGTATGACTTCACTTGAATTGCAGTTATTAGTAAACTTTCAATTAATGGTCAGTTCCTTTACACAGTTGGACCTTATGTATGCAGGTAGCCAGTCAGTTCCCCATATCAGTATATAGTTACTTGTACGCCCAGCAAAGGTGAGTACATGGGGTGTTCATTAGCACTTATTAAGGGTCGTTTGTGCCACACAACAGTTAGTATTGGAGATATAAAACTGAATAAAGTAAAATCAGATTACCTATGGATTGTTAGGTGGAATCAGTATCAGATACATTTTCTGTCCTGCATATTCTGTGTTAACATTTAATAACTATTCAAGTGCCTGGACATTATACAGCTTAGGTCTAGCCTAAGATTATAATTAATAATAACTCGGATTGAAAACTGACATATTAGCAGAGCGTGGTGGTGCACGCTGGTAATCCCAACACTTGGGAGGCCGAGGCAAGAGGATTGCCACGAGTTTGAGGCCAGCATGGGCCACATAGTATATTCAAGGCCAGCATGAACTACATAGCGAGACTCAAAAACAAAAGAAGAAAATTGCCATATTTAGTTTACCCATATTGGATAGGTAAGTCCTGTCCAATTTTTTGTCATAAAATTGAATGCTTAAAGGATAAGACAGAAGAGAATATTGAAGTAAGTATAATTCACTTTATCTCCTCAAAAAATTGCATATTTGGAAAATGTTCCTAAATGGAAAGATAAATGGTTCTTCATTGTCTTCCAGTGTTTTGCCTTCATGAAGCTTACATTCTAACATTTTTAGATTTTATTTATTTATTTATTTGGGTACTGGGATCGAACTCGGGACCTTGTGCTTGCGACCCAGGCGGCAGAACCACTGAGCTAGATCCCCGGCCCCATTCTAACATTTTAAACAGATACCAGCTAGAAGGGTAGTAGGAGTGTTTTACTGATTATTTTAATACAGATACAGCCTCTTTCCAAAAGTATAAATAAAACAACATAGGCGTTTGATATATATACATCTTCCATTTGCAGCTACTTAAGAACATCTGAATACTTCTCACTTAAATCAGTGTAGATTAATTCTGCTAAGGCATGGGCTGAATTCTGAAATAATGTGAGTGAGATATGTAGAAGAAAGGAATTTAGCTAAAAAATGGATTCTTAAAATTAATCCTGAAAAGCCTCTAGAGCTAAAGATGGAAATTAGGTAATTCATTTGGTTTTCTAAGTTACTTTAGACCTGTACTTACAGAAGGGTTCACTTAAATTTTCAGTGATATTCTGCCATGTTTTATTGGGAAAAGGCTTGAAATTCATCTATAAAAAAATACTAAATGTCTGCTGCTACACAAAGAACATCCAAATGTTAGGAGTATCATCCCCAGTCTCTTCTCCAGTTCCACCCAAACATGATTTTATACTGAGAAAACATATTTTGTTACCTTTTAAAAACTATTTGGAATATAAATGTCTTGCCATTAATTTTTTATTGAAAACTTTATTTTAAATTTGTCTTGTCTGATTCCTGCTGCTAAATTGCAAGCTGCCAGAGGGCAGCCTTTGTGTTGCTTATCTCTGTAGTACCCTGACATAAAAATTCAGGGAATATGTCATTTATTGGAATAAATTATGAGAACTTATAGGACCAATATCTCTTTTATGGTAGTTGATTACTTGTAAAACTTGCAACAGAACAGTTAAACATCATGGTAAAAGTAGAAGCTGTCTATCAGCATTGAAGAACATTCCTGCCACTCCTACAAGTAAGCTCAGCCTGAAGATACCAGAGAAAAAGAATCCAAGTTCCACAAATGTAAATCATGACGTATCTGGTTCCAAAAGCAAGAGCCCAGCATGGATTTTCAGGTATCTTACTTAATTCACCAGCTTTATTTGAGTTGCCATACTAAGTATTTCTCCTAATTTCCTTTGGTTAATATAAACTAAATATTCCATGCAGGTCAGGCCTTTGTCCCTTTTTTCCTCCATCTTTTTCTTCTGTAATGTTGCACAATCCCGTATCTTCAACTTTCATCCCAATGCATATGACTTCCAGTTCTATTACTCTTTCAGTCTCTACTTGGGCATATTCCCAGCTGCTGGTGAATATATCCACTCCAACTCCTTGCATGTCCATAACTTAGTTTAGAGAGAGAAGACTATAATAAATTCCTGTGGAAATCTGTAATTGAATAGGGATTTGTCAAGTGATATTGAGTTATCCAAATGACTAGGCACATGTTTCTAGTAATCCTCAATATTTCAGTCACTATGGTAGTCAGTAAATATAACTCTGTGCAATGAAAGAAGTTTTGGACTATTTTATTACAAAGAGAAACACTCAAGTTTAACTTTGTCTACATTCTTAATTTTATTTCAACATTTAATATAAAAATTCAACATAGAAATTTTTACTTTATTGGATAAATGTAGTAAAAGAAAGTTTGGCTGGCTTATTTAAGACAGTTCAGTTGCCTTTAGACCAGGCTGTTGTCAACCCTCCATATTCATGGGTTATGCATCTGCAGATTAACTAATCCTAGATCAAAATATTTAGAAATATAAAACTTGTCTTACTGAAGATATGCAAGCTTTTTTTCTTGTCAGTATTCCCTAAACAATACAGTATAACAATTGTATAGTATTTGTATTAGGTATTGTAAGTAGTCTAGAAATGAACTAAACTCTACAGGAGTTATTTGTGAATATTCTGCCATTTTATGTGAGGGACTTGAGTACCTGTGGGTTGTGGTATCTATGGCGGGGTATGTCCCAGAATTAATCAACCCATAGATACCAAGGAATGGCTGTGCTTACATATATGCAAGAATGGAAAGATCCTGCACATTTATTGTACAGACAGGGTTTCTATTGGATACCTGCTTGAAGAAGAGAGATGAGACTGATGAACCCCAAGTAAGCATTGAGAGGGATGGAGCACAGTTGGAGGGAATGAAATACATTCAGACTAGATGAGGATTATTTATTCAGTGGATGTTTCTAGAGCACCTTCTATGTGCTGATACTGTTAAAAAGCACTGGAATATACAGTTAGTAGTATATCATCTGTCCTGTGGAGCTGACATCCTAGTGGAGAAGATACAACAGAATGATACCTGAATGCATAAGTTGAAATCCTTCACCTTGAAAAGTAAAGTGATGTTGAGCTGTGAGGAAGCAGTAATTTTAAAGTCCTTGCTTAGAACTGTCATGAACCTTGATGGCAGGCTCAAAGAAAACTCAAACCTGGTAACATTCTATATCTAGGCCAGTGGTGGTGAACCTATGGCACGTGTTTTATTGTGTTTTTCTTTTAAGACAAAAGATGTTAATGTATGAGTTGTATTTTCTAAAGTAAAACATCAGTATTCAGGTTAATTGCAGTGTTGGCACTTTGTGATAAATAAGTGTGTTTTGGGTTGCAGTTTGGTACTCGGTCTCTAAAAGGTTCACCATCACTGCCCTAGGCCCATCTTGTGGGTATGATAAAGTTTCTAAGACCACCTCATGTACCTCCTAAATGTTGTCCGAAACCTGATACTCCATGAGATTTTTAAAAATGAGAATGACTGTACTGAATATACCACTGCCCCTATAAAGCCATAATATGAAAGAGTAGAAAATTATTCTGGTAGCAGAAACAGAAAAAATAATTTGTTGTTTGTCAGTATAACTTCCGTTTTTTGTTTTCCCCCCCCTTTTCAGAACACTGACATCTGGCCAGTCAACACCCATTTGCTCCTCAAAGAGTGCGAACAAAAGAAAAAAACACTTCTCTCAACTAAAAATGTTGCTTACTCAGAGCGAATCCCAAAATAATCCAAAGATGGATTTCAGAAATTTCTTATCTTCACTGTGAAGGCTGGACTTTGAAAATAAAGAAATGTCTACTGTAATTTCTGAAACTACTGTTAGTAAAACAACTTTTTAAACTTTTATTTATTTGAATAAATGGAAACTAGGTTCAAGAGCAAACCTTTCTTGGCATCATTCAGTGTTTATGGGGAAAATCTGTCATTAGAATGAATAACTGACTTCACAAGGTGCTTGTGTGGACTACAGTGTATGAAAGGTGCTTCTCTTCCTTTTGTTTTTAGAACTTTTCATTATTTGTCACTTTGTTTCAAAAGGAAATTGAAAACTCCATGTGAAAGATCTGTTCACTCATGAAGTTTTTTGTGTGTGTCTGTAGCCTTACTGCTAATTCAAAAAAAAAGACCAGGAAAACAAATATCCTTGTTTCAACACCATCGTGGGCATAATAAATATATAAGTAAAATCTAAACATTACAGTGTCATCTCTGTTCACAAACTCGGTTCTCTCCAAGAGTCTGGTCACAAACTGAACTGGACAAGAACCAAATAAAATTTCCCCATAAGGTCAATATTGAACGTAACCACTGAATTTGATTCGGTTCTTGTCCAACTAAATTTGCAACCAGAATTTGCAAGGTACCACAGTATTCTTATTTTGTATGCAAAAGTAAACATCTGGTACTTTTTTTTCAGTGCTGAGTATTAAACCCAGGGCCTCACACTTGCTAAGCAAGCACTCTGCCACTGAGCATCACTGCCAGCCCAACATTCTTGATTATAAGTGATTCTATAAGATAGTGGAATTTCTACTTTTACAACTTTATTGTTCCTATAGTAATACTTTACCTTAAAGTGGTGCTTTAGTTTGCTCTGATAAAGACTTATATCCAGGTCTAAGAAATTATATCAAAATATAGTAACAGCTATCTAGAACATGTTTTTTTTAATGATAAACTAGGATTTTACTCAACCTGTCTTCTAGAAAGCTCTTAAAAAGGGATGCTTGGGCTGGGGATTTAGCTCAGTGGTTCTGCTGCCTGCCTTGTAAGCGCAAGGACCCAAGTTTGATCCCCAGTACCAAAAAAAAAAAGGGATCCTTATACATTGTTGGTATTATAAATTAGTATAGTCATTTGGGAAAACAGTATGGAGGTTTCTTTAAAAACTGGAAGTATAATTACCATATGATCAGCAATCTCACTTTTGGAGTATGTGTATCAAAGGAATTGAAGTCAGTGTGTTGCAGAGACATTGCACTTACACTTTCGTTGCAGTCTTACTTTACAGTAGCTAAGAAATGAAAACAACCCAAGAACCCATCAACTGACAAATGGATTTTTTAAACATGGTGTATATATACATAATAGAATACATTCAGTCTAAAAAGCAGAAAGATCTGTCATTTGCTACAACGTGGATGAACCTAGAGGACAGTATGCTAACTGAAATAAACCAGACAAATCCCATATGATCTCACATATACATAGATCCAGAACAGCTGAACTTATTCAAGGAAATAAATATTTGAGATGATGGATATATTACTCAGCCTGAATTGTTCAATCTATAATATTTACATGTAATGAAACATCACATTGTACTACACTATATACAATTATTTGTCTATTAGAAATAAAATGGCATCAGGCATGCTAGTACATGCTTATAATCCCAGCACTTGGGAGGCTGAGGCAGGAGGATTGCTGCAAGTTCAAGGCCAGCCTGAACTACATAGCGAGACCCTATCTCAAAAAACAAAAGAAAAACTCAAAATAAAATGAATGATCAAGAGCTCCATGTATGGTGAATCTCACAGGTAGTAGTACTCAGCAAGAAAAAATTTTAAAACGAAATCATTTAAATACCCTGAATTCTAGTTTGTTTCCAAGCCTTTCTTCACTTGAAAGTTTATAATAAATTTTCATTAGACCTCGGAAAATTGACAGGCCACGGTAAACCAGCTCTTCTTATATTTGTATAAACTATGTTAAATACAAGTACCAAAACATGGTGAACTGACCCAGTCTTTCCCTGTGTCCGCAGCATCTACCACTGTCACTATTAATTGCGCTTCTAACAACTTAGGTCCATAAAATGCTCAAAAGCTAAGGAAGAATTCTACAATGGGTATTCTCAGAAAACATGTGCCTCTTACTGGTCACTGTAAATCAGTTGACTCTATTTTCAAAGATGAGCAATCCACCACACTTTTCGCTTAGTGGAAAAATGTTTTTCAGCTCCTATTCCAGCTTTCATCAAGGAGGGTTGACAGCCTCAAGTTCTGATTTTATTCATAAACAAGAGAAACTTCTGGTGAGATGAGCATGTATGACATATACTTGCTATCCCTCTTCTAAAGGGAATATGACATGGGTTAAGATAACACTGACAGTGTTCTTTGACACATTTTCTAGGATCAAAAAAACAAGGTAATACAATTTTTAGTTTAAAACTAGGTTTTGTTTTGTTTTGCGTCTTGTTTGTTTTTGATAGTCTTTTAGAAAGAGACTTTAAAAAAAATCTAAACACTTCTGCAAATAGTTACTGAAGTCATGTTTCAAATTTATCCTGAAAATGAAAATACATTATGCAGAAGAACTTTTAGAGGACATAAAATAGAAGTTAAGTTTTATTAAATAGCATACAAACAAGTGTACACATTTTCAACACTTTTAATAACAAGTGAGATTTCTAGTCCAATATGACAAATTTACAAAGTGCTTACAGAAATCTATCTAAATCCATGTCCTTCACTGAGTAATACTACAAAGATGGAAATGAAATCCAAGTTCAAAAATGAAGTACAATATTTAAATCAAATGATTTTTAATAATGGATATAACTTTTTATAATAAAACTAGTTTCTAAAGTGACAGGAAACAAGTCTCTTCACTGTATCTGACCTCTTAATATATTCAAAGTCTATTAACTGCCAAAAATATTAAGTAGTGAATATTTTATTTCATGACTATGATTAATACCTGAAAATAAAATTGTACACACATTGCCCTGAATCATTTAAAAAACAATTGTTGTGCTATATAAGAACTTGATTTTTTAAAATTAATTTTATTGGTATCTTTCAAATATAATGATCACATTCATCGTATGGAAACTGTGCCTGTACATGACATATCTTGATTCTTTTTTCCCCAATCTCCTCCTCTCCGTCTTCCCCTTAACAAAGCTTTGTTTCCATTTTTTTCCTTCTATTTTTTTTTTTTGCATCTCCCCACTTGTCCCCCTTCCCATTTGAACATTTTCTTCCCATTTCCCAAATATCTATTATATATTTTCATGTTTATTTACTCTTGGTTTCTCACACCAGAAAAATAATGCAATTTTTCAACATGTGTCCATTTTATTTCACTTAAGAGTATGGTCTTGAAGTGCATGTATTTACCTAGAAATGTCTCAAGATTATCCTTTATGGCAGAATTTATCCTTCTTTATGGTTTATCCATTATATAAAAAAACCACATCTATATCCATTCAACTGTTGATGGCTGTTTCCAAGATTTAGCTATTACAAATTGTGCTGTTATAAACACGGGTATGCATATATTGCTGTGGTAGGATGCTTTTAATTCTTTTGGAAAGATAACAAGGGGGATGATGACCAGAGCAAATGGAACCTCTAGTTTTAGTATTGTGAGGAATCTCCACTCCAATTTTCACAGTGGTTGCACCAATCTACACTTCCAACAACAGTGGAGAAGGGTTCCTTTTTCCCCACAGCCCCACCACCATGTTATTGGTTGATTTCTCTATAATAGCCATTTTTTTCTGAAATGAAACAGAATCTCAGTGTTGTTTTAATTTGCATCTCTCGAATGACCAGTGATGTTCAACTTTTTTTTTTTCATAGATTTATTTGCTGTTTCTACTTCTTCATCTGATAAGTGTCTATTCATTTCAGATGCCCATTTTTGGATTAGGTCTTTAAATTTGGGAGGTCTGATTTTTTTGAGTTCTTTATTTATTCTAGGTATTAGTCCTTTGAGCAACAGCTGGCAAAATTTTTTTCCCATGATCTGGCTGTCTCTTCAATTCATTGGTGGTTTCTTTTGCTGTGCAAAAGGTTTTTAATAGGATGAGATCCCACTTGCTGATTCTTTGTAATATTTCCTGTGCAGTTGGGGTTTTGTTCATAAAGTCTTTGCCTACACCTATGTCTTCAAGAGTTCTACCTATTCTATCTTCCAGTGTTTCTGTTTTAATATTTAGATCTTTGATCCATTTCAATTTTAGTTTAGTGCATGGTGAGGATATGGGCCTACGTTTAATCTTTGGCATGTGGAAAGCCCGTTTCTCCAGCATCATTTATTAAAGAGGCTTTCTTCGAGTGAGGGTGTTTGACCCTCTGTCAAAGAGAAGGTGTTTGGGGGCAGGGATTTAGCTCAGTGGTTCTGCCACCTGCCTCAAAAGTGCAAGGTCCTGAGTTTGATCCCCAGTACCAAAAAAAAAAAAAGGTGTTTGGAGTTGTTTCTGCATCTTCTAATCTGTTCCACTGATGCTTAGGTCTGGTTTTTTGCCAGTACCATGCTGTTTTTATCATAGTAGCTTTGTAGTATAATATCAAGTTAGGGATCGTGATTTCCCGTTTTGCCTTTGTGCCCAAGAATTGCTTTTGCAGTTCTAGGTCTCTTCTGGTTCCAAATGAATTTTAGGATTGTTTTCTCTAATTCTGTGAGGGATGCTATTGGTATTTTGATTGGGATTGCATTAAATCTGTGTAACAATTTTGGAAGCATGGGCATTTTCACTATATTCATTCTTCCTACCCAAAAACAAAGCATATCTTTCCATTTTCTGATATCCTCTGTAATCTTTCTTTTCGGAGTACTGCAGTTTTCAATGTAAAGGTCTTTTACTTCCTTCCTTACATTGACTCCTAAGTACTTCTTCTCTTTTTTTTTTTAATGCTATTGTGGAAGGTTTGATCCCCAGTACCAAAAAAGAATGTGTATTCTGATGTTGTGGGGTGGAATACTCTGCAGACATCTACTAAATCCATTTCTTCAAAGGTTTGGTTCAGTTCCGATATTTCTTTGTTGATTTTTTTTTTGTCTAATTGATCTATTTGTAGGGTATTGAGGTCTCCCATTACAATTTTGTTAGTATTTGATTTTTCATGTTCATTAATGTTTTATATAGTTGGATGCACTGGTATTTGGTGCATATATATTTGATTATTATCTCTTCCTCTTGGATTGTTCCCTTAACAAGTATGTAGTGACTTTGTTTGTCTCTCTTAATCAGTCTTGGCTTGAAATCTACTGTGTCTACAAATAGAATAGCTATCCCTGCTTTTTTTCCAGGTTCCTGTCACATGGAGTATTGTTTTCCATCCTTTTACTTTGTCTATGAATTTCTTTTTAAATTAAGCATTTCTTTTATGCAGCATATTTTTGGACCTTGGTTCTTGATCCATTCTGCCAATCTGCTTGTTTTGATTAGTGAATTGAG